CAACAGTAAACCTGAGGAAAAACCTGGAACATGAGCTCTAATCAGATAGATGCCCAAGGAAGTGGGAGATTAAGGACCTGCTCAAGCTGGCATATCAGACAAACTGGCTTAGAGAAGTTAGATCAACATGGCCGATCTGCCGGGGAAAAAAGTTCAGTCATCATATATGCCGGTAGAAAGCTCTTGGCCTCTACAGAAAGAGCCCCAAACCAGGAATAAGATTTTGTTGGTCTGCTTCTACACTTACATATTTATTCAATATTTGAGCACTTGTGTCCCATTAGTTGTAAATAAGAAAACAGCAGCTAAGAAACACCCCTGCCTTCTGATCCTATATTCGATACAAGCCAGTGCAGCTGACAAGAGTTGTGGGGAAATGGTTGGCTTTTGTACACAAGGTTTTAACCAGGTGTCAGGATGTTACATTTTAATGCAAGGTGTTATCACTAAAAACCTGGGGTACTCTGGAATAGCAAGGTTTAAGAAAAACATGCCACCCAAGAAGTCCTGCCTACAGGGGCATCAATCCTGGACTCAAAGAGAATTTAAGAGTTAGGCATGTGGGAATTAGTTTGAGTGGCTAGGTCAAGAGAATGAGATATTTGTCTTTTTTTACACACACACAAAAAAATGTCATCACAGGCCAGTAGGTGTGGCTCAGTGGTTGAGTGTCAACCCATGCACTAGGAGATCTTCAGTTCAATTCCGGGTCAGGGCAAATGTCTGAGTTGAGGCTCGATCCCCAGTAGGGAGTGTGCAGGAAGCAACCAATGTTTCCATCTCTCTTTCCCTTCCTCTCTTAAAAAAAATAAAATAAAATAAAAATCAATAAAAAATTTTTAAATAAAATTAAATAAAACACCCATTTGGAAATATAAGTGCACAAGAAAGCTGCTTATCTTAGCATGAAGTATACGAAGGAATGGAATCCAAAGTGTGCTTTAAAGGGCATTAAAAAAAAACATTAAATTTCTATTCATTTTTTGAGTGAAAAGGGAGCTATACAATAAACTTTACAAGCTCTAGGGGGCCACATGGCAAGACTGACAAGCTCAGTGACCAGAAGTAACCACAGGATGGTCTGATGCCTTCTCCTGCCTCAATTGACTCGAAGGCAGCGATTTTCAACGGGTATACCACAAGGATTTTAAAAGCATGCAATCCCTGACTGTCAGGGACACTGACCTCTTTTCCCTTAGATTGTAAAATAAAAAATAAGGCAAGAGCCAGTACCTTATCTCTCTGGTGTGAATCAAAATTAGACCCACTTTTTCAGTCAGCTCCACAAAAAACATATTTTTTGGTGTGCCGCAGATTTTAGGAATTAGTTTATGTGTGCTACGAGATGAAAAAGGTTGAAAATCGCAGCTCTAATGTATAGGCCGCAAAACTGCCATTCTCTGGAGCATTTTCTCAATCCATTGAGATTCTGCTTTCCTGCCATGTGTAATCAGTTTGGCTCAAACAAACTCAATTTCTCTACAGGTTTGGAAGTTTCTTACTGCCATAACTTTCAAGAGTCACTTTGGGCAATTTTCTCTTAAACCTGTTTCTTCAGCAACATAGGCGTAATAGGTACATTTTTGATAAATGTAATAAAACATTCAGAGCACTTTGGAAGAAGTTCCTGAGAGCACGTGGTTCCTACAGTGGGCCAGGAGACAAGTGCTTACCCCAGAGGTCAGGAGACCAAAGGTTTTCGATGTCTACACGGGGCTCTTTCAGAGGTCCAGGAATGACCCTTTCCTTCAACATCCATTCTGTACCTCGGATTAGGCTAACCTGCGGAAAAACAAAGGAGTATCAATCACCATCTTCCCTCAGTAGAAAAAGAACAAGACAGAGCCTTTCGAGGCCGGTGTATCAGAACTAACTGGCAAGTATTCAAAGATATCAGCATGGTCGATATGATGGGGAAAAAAGTATAGTCATCATTTTCACCAGCCAAGGACTCCTCGGGTCCGTTCACAGGGAGCGAGGGTTTTTCCAGCTCTTAACTGATCTCCCCCAAGGCCCGAAAGCCTATTAACGTCAGAGCAAGAAAACCACCCGCAGGGGCGATGGCAAAGAGAGAAAGGGAGGAACGGAGATCTCCAAGGGAAAACAGTAGGCCTTAACTCACCACATACGGTAATAACCCCGAGTTCCAGAGGCGGGATGACATCGGATGAGGCTGAAGCACGGGAACGCAGCTAACAAACAAGAAGGCCATGCGGACGCAAAAGAACGAGCAGCAACCGGGACCTCCCTTATATAACCAGAGGGGGCATTTTTGCGCCTGCGCACTGGATCCGAGTTGCTTCCGGGTCCCCCGGCGCAGCGCGGGAAATGTAGTCTCCGATGCTACCTCATGGCTGCCGCGGCCGCTCTAGCTCTGCCCTCTGCCCGTACACACTGGGCCGCCCCGGCTCTACGGCCTCCCCGCCGTGTAGCGCTTCAAACGCACCGAGAAGCCCGCCGGGTCTCCCCCCTCCCTTTCGGGGTTGGCTGAGGCATGCAACGGCCTTGGGCACTGAATCCGACCCCGCAGTCTCCTCCCCTCAGCCGCGCCAGCCCCAGCCCGCCCC